CGTATTAATTTATTATTATTGTTATCTTTCTCGTGTGTCCCATTCTATGTCATGTTATATTTATTTGTATAAGCATAGTCTAGTTAATATTATGTAATATAATAATTTCTACAAGAAGTCTAGGCATTCCGATAAATACCTAACTCTCTGGTAATACTTGTCAATATTCACGTATTGAGATAATTATTGAGACATGTACAGTTTTTCTCTTTTTTTTAACGCAGTGGTTCTTTCTCTTTAGTTTTTAAATATCTGAAAGTTTTCCTACTATCCTAATGTGCACCGTCCGATACGTTCGGACGCCTGGGGCCGACTGAAAATCAGCGCTGCACTCCTGCGGCTTATGCTGAGGCGGTCCCTTCCGCCACCTTATCACAACACACATTAAATTGTTTTAATTTAATAATTTTATTATAATACTTTACTACCCATTTTTCTCTTTTTTGATATATTTTTTTCTTTACGTAAACATTTTTTTTCTGTGTTTTTATTTTTTGTAATTTTATTGATTAAGTTCTGTACAACTATTTTAAGGTGACGGAATAAATGTCTTTAAAATATCAATCCAATATTTTTAATATTGTTACCACGGGTAATAAAAAGCGCAAGAAAAGGTAATTAAAAAAATTGTCGTTAATATGTGTTATAACTGACAAGATGTGTCAGTTTGTTTAATAAGTAGATTAGTAACAGGACCAAGTAATATTTTATTGTCATCTGTTATTATACATATTCAAAGCGGAGTGCATACGCGCTATACATTACTCTGTTCAATACTAGTTATCTAGGACTAATCTTAAAGGCCATCGACCTCAATTTAACATTACAGGCATCAGTACGAAAGCGTTACTTAGTTTAATTATCGAGCCCGTACATCGTATTTCGAGAGCGGAATCCACCTAGGCACAAATCCGCCGAGCTCCGCCGTCGCAATTATTGCACGTACGTACTCCGTTGTGCCCAGATGCTGCGGCACTTAGCGGTCCGCAACGGTTTTATTATGAATAGCAACGGAGCCAGTGTTCCGCGGTGCCCCGCCGGGTTGGACGCGAATTAATGCCCGAGCTTTCGGCTGGAAATTAATGTGATGCACCCGGGCTGCGGGGCCGGATCGCCGGCGCTCAGTGAATTGTGAGACGCTCGCTGGCCGGCCGTTTCCCTGATAGAATTTCTGATGCACCTTGCGAACCAACCGGTGCCACTTAGCAGGGCCGATTGCAGACCATCTAGAAACATCCTCGCTAAAATAAAATGTAACACCGATTGAGTAGAGTCCGAGATCTCGGTATAAATGCCAAATTTATTGTGGTAAACTTTTCATCTCGAAAGTACTAACGCTACTGTTGGTCTAACTAGTTTTGCCTCTCAGCCCCACCGTCTTAATAGTAAGTTCCCGCAAGCTCACTATTATATTTAATTGTAACAAATTAAGAAATTATTTTTTATCTATCAACAATGACAACATGTTGAAAAGACTAGCTGGGATTATTTAATTCTACTTAATTTTTCCACCAACGACTGCACCACGTAACGTCAGCTGGGGCACAATTTTTTTGCAATTAAAGAATTCCAGAAATTAAAAATTCAATGCTCAGACATGGATAGTATTTGTTTATAAAATCGACATAGCATCAATAAACTTTCAGTTTCCGTGTTATATTTAAGATCAAACGGACCAGCGCTACATGCTTTCTGTTAATTAACTGACAAGGCTTTGACAGACCATTGACCACGGTATAATGAAATAGATTTCGGCTAGGCCTGAATTGCAAAGGTGATTGACATGAGGAATTTTTTGCACATATGCATAAGAAATGCAGAAGGGGGTAATACTGTAATTTTAGAAATCTAAATCTTTGCCAGAATCAGGGTAGCGCTAATGCTTTAAAAGTAGCTTTTATCATATTTTGGTGGATGAAATGTTCACTTATAATAGATATAAAATTGCTACATAATAAAATGAAACGTATATTTGTTACCTCTGGGACGCAAGATCGAAAGTTTCATTGTACCTATAATATATCTGTTTTGTTTAGAGATTTCAAAAGTACTTATACTACTGGAATGAACTAGTGGTCGCGTAGTGATAGAAACTTGACATAATTAAGGTAGTATGTGTAATGTTTTTTTTGTATTGATTTAATCAACTATTATGCATAATTTAAAGAAATATTAGCATTTTGCACTCCTTTTCTGTACAAACTATAAGTGTGGGAAATTTCATATTCCTCCGTCAGCGCGATTTTCGTAAAAAGGGGTACAAAGATTAGGCAATTTATTGTAAAGCTGTACTCCTTCAAACAGTATTGTTTTTTTAACAAACTTTGTACGTGTATCTATTTAACGTTATCTAGCTCTAACTTACCTTTATTTCATTTCTTGAATTGAATGTAGTTATTTTTTATCAAATTGAATATTGATGTGACTGTAGTTGTAGTAATTATTTAGCATGCAGGTGTAATAAATGTTAAGCGGTGTGATATTTAGTAATTTTGAATTTACACACAATTTTTTATTTGAGTTAAAGTGGGAACAGGGAAATAATGCTACATTTTTTTTATTTATGTCTTTGTAATGAGTTTTTTTAAACATAATTATGTTTATAGTACTATTTTTAGTCATCAAGATAAAAATTCCAAATTTGTGTTAAAATGGTTGATAAGTGTTCCCTCCATCACTCACTCCAGGATCAAATTCTCAAAATAAAGAAAAGTTTTTCCTCCATCTTTTTACAAATTCTTAGGAATCAAGTTTGTTTTCGCGGCGGATGCCCATTTGATTTTAAATAATATATATGTAGCCTATTATTCTCACGAATTATCTGTCTTTTCGTTCCTGAAAGAGTTTAAGAATTGACTATGTACTTTCAGGAATAACACATTATGTACAAACAAACAAAGAACAATATCTTTACTAAGATTATAATAAAAATCACTTGCGATGGCAACTATTAAACATTCAGAATATTTCCCTATGTTTTTTTAAATATGTCATAGCATAAAACAAAGGGTCGGTGATAGTAACATCTGGTTTTTATTTCCATCTAAATTTTGTGTACTGTTATCAATTAGCCGGTAAAGGTTTAAGTTTAATAGAATAGCTCAGGGCCACAATATTTTAATCGTTTGCGATAACTATTAAAAACGATTAATTATTAATCATTTTTTCGCACATCATTGCTTCGCACGAAGGGATTTGAATAAGTACAATGTAGAATCTAGTATCTAGTAGATTTATTTCTACCACGTGTCACACTTAAAAAAAGACCTTATTATTTTTGTGATATAGCTCATGATTATATGGGCTCAAAACCTACCATTAGCTGAACGAAAACCTAATAGCTTTGTTTATGGTATTTGGCGTTTACTACAACTAATAAAGCAGGAAAAAATACTTAGTGTAGCCTTACACTGATTTGTTTCGCTTTCCGATATCCCGAATTCCTATTATCACCAAACATCACGTCTATTTATATGTTGCAAAGTTTCCAGTAAGATTTTAAAGCACTTTCAGACGCAACGACTGTTATTGGACAAAATTACAACTCCTCGTCCCGGCTTGTCTTTAACAGACGAGAGCCATCCGTAATGGCGCGAACTTCGTAAAATTTAGTCGGAGATGAATGTCTTTGAGCAACAATTGTACAAAGGCTCTGTACAACGAACTGACGCTAAAAGACGCCCAGGATTGGCCGAGGCTAAAATTTACACGAGAAAAGGAGCTCATTCCAGTTTTCGCGTTTCTCGAGCCTCCTTTTTTTCATTAAAGCACCGTTCAACTAAGCATGTTGTTCACAAGTATAATTTATCGCATTCGACTACAGAGCGACGGAAGCCCTGAGCGAGGAACCCGTTTCGATATTATGTACCTAACGTAATTTGTTAAGCCGCTGAAAATGTTTTATAAACTTTGACTGCGACAAGAAGCAGCTTTTAATGGTGTTATGAAACTTTGGAACTGATTTCAGTAAACTACGGCGCCTGTGTTTTTATAGACTATATTCACCTAGAGTATATTTTTGTAAGTAAATATGAAACTCAACCTTTTGACGCTTATTTTATATCAACATTTAGGTTGATCGATAGAGAATGCCAGCATTGTCTGCCTACGAAAATATTTTATGTAAAGGTTTGAATAAATAAAAGATGACAACTGTACCGTATAAAACGTCGTAGACATACCGTATTACAGTCAAGTAATTTCTATTAATGTTCACCGAAAATGTAAAAAAGGAAAAAAAAATCTATTCGGTTCTGCTATAACGGCGGGTTATAACACGCGCCATAAACTAGGGTCAAACTTGTACATGATGGATCGATATGTACGTTTACTTATCCGCGGCCGCAGCGGCCGGACATATCGCGTGCCACCTTCAATACAAAAATATCGATTTTTCCGCATAGCCGCGTCACCGCAATCAATATGCCTTTCCGCCCCATGCCTAATTACGCCCACCTACATCGCTCAAACAACCGTAAAAAGCACCGTAATCATTCCACCGATGGTACAGAGATGAATACCCAAGCTGAAAAATAGCGAACACTGAATCATTCAAAGTGCACAGGAAAACGCTTCATTGTAAACGTTTTATTTAATTTTCCCTCCATTTACTTTTTATAATTTCTGTCGGGCATAAAAAACGATCCGCCGCCGCAGGAAGAGCGCACACACCGGCGACGACCGTGTCTGGACGCACACAAGCACAGAAACACCTGTCTCGGGAACGAAAGGTGTGCTCGGGCGTGTGCGTAAAGGATGGTTATATATGTGTTTGGGGCGTGAGAGTGAGAAGTGGTTTTGCGCGCGCATAGAGCCGGCACGCCCGCCGCGCGTCCCGCTCGCGCGCGGACTCTACTAAGAGCCGTCAGTCTATCGCGCGCATAGGCAGCGCTTGTATGTGCCGCCATTTGCAACGACGCGACCGACGCAGTGTCCGTAACTGGTGTTCGGAAAATTGTGCATGTGCGTTTTCCGACGGAGGCAGTGTGTGTGCTTGTGAGATGTGCTATTGTTTTCTAGGTAATTGTGACCGATGTTTAAAAAAGCGCACCGAAGCTTTTATATTTAACGATGACATGTTGGCGCCATATAATTTTAATTTTAAAGTATCTTTCTTTGCATAAATATAAAAAGTTTGTTATAAAGTTAAAAATATAACTTGAAATTATTTTACATTGGTTTTTCAGATTGTAAGCTTTCCACTGGTATCTTTTAACTTCCTACGCAGATTTTGTTCTTAATAAATGTTTGCGGCATTGTAAAAAAATAAACATTGTCGGTACTGAAAGGAACAAAAAGTTACGTTCATTAGTTAGCTACTTGCTGGTTAATTATGATAATTGTTGCATAATATTTGTTTAATTTCATAATAACATAGTCGCATTATGTTATTTTGGTTAAAACTGTTGCATCAGTAGCTATGTATAATATTTTTGCAGTCCAACAATGTTCAGTAATTTATAGATTACTAATTTAATTTCTTTTTCTGTTAACTAAACAATTTCCATATGTTATTTTGCTAATTTTATCATAGTTTTGGCTACAGTGACAGATATGTTTCACAAATTATTCAAAGAACTAACCGAGTTGTCATTATAAGATACTAAACTTATCAAAAAAAAACTTTTACTTCCACGATTTTGATTTCTACCATATGACTATAAGATATAATAGAGGTAATTTAACTAATTTTAAATGTCATTGTTTGCGTAAATAAAAATATCTCTAATTTTTTATAAAAATTCTTGGTTAAAATAATTATTTTTGTCCTATCATCATATTATAGGACACTAATTCTCTTCTCGTACATTTTTAATCATCTAATATAATTGATTAAAAGGACACAATTGATGTCAATTTGAAGAGTGAACTCGACCTCTAGACTGTCGGTGGCCATAAGGCTTAATGCCAGAAGAAATGAGAGGTTAATCGAATTAAATTAGAGAGAACACGAGTATGTAACCTTTAGTTATCCCATAATAAATAACTCGCAGCTGCTTTTAATACAATAAAGAGCGACGCTCGTAGAAATTAAATTAATATTCCACAATTGACGAATGAAAAAGTATGTAGTGAAACAGAAAGAATAATAAATTATGACTTTTTCAAAGAAAACAATTATTTATTGTTATCGAACGAATAGCTTATTACGTGTCATGGTCTGCATTTATTGCAAATAAAAGCATGCAAATGAAAACAATACCGTAGCATTGTTCTTTCAATTAAGAACGTACTTTCGACTTGCTTTTTTTTCTGTTCTGTTTGCCGCCGCTACTTGGAGCGCGGTGTCGATATTTCAAAATAATGTTAGTTTTAATTGGCGAAATCGAGATTCTGTTGTTGTACTATTTGGTATCACAGTTTATGTTTGCTGGCCACAGCGAATAAACAGAACTATTCCATCATGAGTCATTTGTCATCTTTAGATGCTTTTTTGTCGCACGATAATTTTCGGTTCCACGATACGGCTCTATTATTAAGGTTTTTTCATTGTCAATGCTCTTCTACGTCGTGGCGGTAATTACTGAGTCGAGTCCATTCCGAATGGTCACTTAAAGCAAGCTCCACTATTGCGATGTTGCGTCATGATAAGACAAGACCACGAGAGTCCGCTAATAGTCGCTCGTTGAACTAAATTGAATTTGATGTTTTCGGAACGAGATATGTGCAGTTGGGAGCTTTTATTTCGCACATTATAACACCATATGCCGAATCTTACGTTCGAGAACGATCTTGCGAGCACACTTTTTTGTTATAAATATTTAACATACAATTGCCTGCCTAGACGGGCAATTTAGGAGTGTTTCGACTCTTCCAGAGTTTAAAAACTTTGCAGAACTGCCTTGAAATTAGTAAGTTAATTTAAGAAAAAGCGTTTCGTGGAAAGTTATTTGAAGAATAATATCGGCGAGATTTGTCCATTTTTTAAAACTTATAATACTTGCTTGCTGTATTAGTAGGCGCGGTAGGATCTGCGTTGACAGGCGATTTGTCTAGCTCGCCCCGGAAAGCGAGCGGATGGCATTGATTCGTAATAAAAAAAACGCGCCATATCACGCTGCTGTGGTCGAAACTCTTTTAAAGCGATCGGCGATGCGCCCTCAATGTTCTGTCGGAAATATTTCGTAATAATTAACGTTATGATATCCCAATATTTATTCAACATAAATCGAAAAGAAACAATTGCCAGTTCTGTTTACAACAAATCACTCACTTAGACGGAATTCAATCCCGACGAATTAACATATAAATATTTGCGGGAATTAACATAAAACACCTCAAACGTTTACTCGATTACTTTAATCAATTTGATCGATGCAGGTATTTTACTTTGAAAAGAAAATCTCCCGTAGACTATCTCTACTGCGCTGTCCGTTTAATGTAAATATTTGCCGCAATAAAATCTATTTGGGTGATTAATTAAATGGAGCATGACGTGTTTTCTTTCTTCAACCACCCAGCGGGCTTTCAGCTTGCGTACCACTCGTCGATAGTTGAGGCGAAAAACTCAAATAAACATTTTTCATGAACAGCTTTTTATGTGTACCTTTTTTATTAAAAAAATACAACACAAATAGTTAACTGTAGTACAGGTTCGACGCGTGCTAGGATTTTGGCCACGGATGCGCATGAGGCTGGCTACTGGCTTCATACGTATCCTTCGTCAAATACAGGAACATTTCTTGAGCCTGACACGCTCCGAATCAAACCGAAAAGCACCAAACCTGTCTAGGGTTTGGGGTTCCGGTCTGTGCTCCTCATAAATGTCCCTGTGGCAGTGATGTCGACAAGCTAGGCGTAACAGACTGTCATGCCAAAATAGAGCAGGCCGCTTCTCGAGACATGCCGCACTTAACGATGTCATACGCCGTCCCTTGCCACCGTCTACTTGAGCCGACTGGTATTGTAAGAGACAATGACAAGAGATCGGACGGTAAGAGTTTGATTGATGGGCCGGTTGGTGCTGGTATGGGATGCAACCTGTTCAGATACGCTGGCCCTTTCCCATCGGCATGGAACCAACAACAGAGCTGGTGCGGCTTGTGAAGCGGCTGAAAAAGCTAAAGCCTGTAAATAAGGGCTAGGCTCCGAATATGATTTTGGCCCATTCGGTGTCGAGAACCTTGATCCGTGGGGTCCTAGCACTATAAGGCTTTTTAAGGAAATAACAAAAAGTTTAGTCGACATCACAGGAGACCGAAGAGCTGGCAGCTACCTCGGACAAAGAATTAGTCTAGCTATTCAAAGGCGGAACAATCTTCGGAACCTTGCCTACAGATTTTATATGAATATTTTCTTTCTGTTGAGATTGTGACATGAAATAGTCTTAACTTTATTATTTGAGAACACTTTAAACGGATAATTATACCATACCATTATTTCTACCGTTGACAGAAAGTAAGCTTTTAAAATATGTATACATTTGTATAACTTAGTCATTTGCGATGATAAAGATATTTACGACAATGAAGCCAAGGAGTCTGCTTAGTGTTTAAAGATGATAGAACTCAGCTGAACGAAGCGTCTATACAATAAGTGTTCAGGTTGAGCTTATAGCAGAGTGAACTGCAACCATGAGATTCGCCATATAGAACAAAAGTCACAATAGCACAATAGGACATTGAGCACCGCTCTCGTATAATGAACGAAAGAAAGCTTTCAAAATAGAATATCACTAAGTAGTAAAACAACATAAGAAAGATAGAAATCAAGATACTGTATTAAGTACTCTGTCCAACTATGTGAATAAATTTTCATAAGACTTAGTAATTAATGCCGCTACATAAATCTTATTGCACAAATTTGCAACAGTAATGAACAATCATAACGTAGCGAAATTAACAGTATAAACTGAATTTATCAAATAGGTACATTGCTTTTTTTTGTTTAAATTTTCGAGACGTTTTCAAGACTTGCATCCCAATGATCTTTCTTTTCTGTTGATCGGACACACGCGGAAACATTTGATCGGAATGTTACAAGTTTTCAATGGGATTCTGAAATAAGTTGGCTAGAATGCCGACACTTTAAGAATTAACTGCTTTTACAGAAGTGGCAAAATGAAAAAACATCAAAACAAACTGGTAATGGCTTCACGTAAACTGATAAAGATGTTCCACATGACGGACCACTTGAGATCTGCTTTTTTACCATCACAAAACTGATGGTGAATATTCAGAATATAGTGATTTTTACAAGAGTACTCGAGAGTTTGCATTGAATACAGAATCCAGCGAAATTTTCGCTCCATAAACAGGTGGCATGTGGGTGTTCTCAACATAAATGGGTAAATAGGTGCAATTTGGGCCACCACTGGCCGGTCAGTCTGATTCAACACTTCGTTGGGGCAATTAGACTCAATTTGCGGAGCGCATTCTATGAGCATGGTCTCGTATCTAACAAAGGCTTATTTCCCTTGAAACACGGTTACCGGCTTTGGATGATAAATGATCAATAGTAGCTCTTTTTGAATATTAAAGAAAATAAATTATTAATACATAACAATTATTAATAACACTTGTTGACGAACAAAAGTTAATGTAGGTAATTGTTATTTTATATTAAAAGATAACTTCCAGTGACAATAATATTAAAAGTAGGTACTTAAGGGAATTCCACATCATTTTATTGAGATTAATATGTTGAGATGATATCTACCAATGTCTTGCTTTGGTCACTTTTATTCAGGAAAATTGCTATGTTACGTTTGAATATAGCGCGTTTCAGGCGAAAATTAAGTTTGTTTTCACAAACGACCCTATTGCCCGAAAGTCTATTGGTGTGGTTTGCGTTTATGGTAAAACATACGTTTTTACGCATTAGAGTACTTACGTCGATGCAAAATTGGATATTTTTCAATGCCAATTTCAAAGTTGCCGATTCTAAAACACAAACGTATTATTACAAAACAAAGTTAAATATCATTCGGAATGAGAACAGAAAACAAATGAACATAAAGAGAACGAGAGTAGAATCATTCGTAACAAATTTAAATAAGTATTTACGCGGGGTGAAATTAA